GATTTCAGGATATCAAGTGATAGGCTGCACTGGTTTCCCTGGTAAATTATTCCAATGGCTGATTACCCTCGCTAATTTCTTATCTCCATCGGTCCGGCCTGGCTCCTAACCATAAAGTCTTGCTACAAGTTTCCGTGCCAGGTGACAGAGCCTGTTGCTGCCAGGACAACATGTTCCAGCTAAAAGATGGCCTGTTGTACTGCAAGCCCATGGCTGCTAGCCATGCTGAGCTCTTCCTTCTGAGAAGAGGCAGCTGTGGAGCTGGAGTCTGGGTGATCAGTATGGTTTAGAGCAGTGGTGGAGGGTGCCTAGCCTGGTGTCTGTGTGCAGGCAGGGCTTCCTGGGAGCTGTGATTGAATAACTCGTGTTGCTTGGAGCTGGGCTTCACATGATGAGCAGCCCAGCAGCACAACGTGCTGCTGCTGAAGGAGTGATCCACTTCTCATACAGTCCTGACTGCAAGCTCCTGCGGCTTCCCTAGGACTGACTCTGGTGACCAAGCAGCCTCAGATCAGTCCAGCCACTGCTCCAAGTGAATATTAACCTCCTTCCCCAAAGGGAAAAAGTATGGAAGTTGGATTAGCCTGCCTTGTGGTCCAAGATTGCTGAAGAGGTGTAGTGTGACACTGGGCATGAGAAACATCGTGAGGGACAACCTCTTCCAACAGCAGGGTTAGATGCTAGAGAGAATCACACATTTAGTTCCTGTGTTTCTATGTTTGGATAAACAGGCTGTGGTTGCACAAATCCTCTCAGCTGGCACTGCTGTTGAAAGAAGGCGTTGTGCTTGCCTGTTGTCATCTCTGCTGGTTCTCTGCTGCGGTTTGTTGTGAGACCACACGTGCACCTCTGCCACCAGAAGAGAAAGGGCAGAGGGTGGAACTCCTTTTGGCAGGGTGAAGAGTTGGTAAAACTAAGAATTGTCACAAGTACGCCTTACCTTAAATCTTCATAGAAAGCAAGGTATCTTTTCGCCTTCCCTCTGCAGCTGCCATGTGAGAGCAGCTGCCCTGATTTACTCAGTAGTGCAGGTAACTCGTGTGGCTTGGGAGAACTGGGTTTAACCAGGGCGGGGTTTAGGTCAACTGCTTTTATGTCTTTGGGCAAGAAATGTGTGTTGAAATTTGTTGTGTAGGAAAGAGCATTTAAAGTAAGAAGAAGGAGGTCTGAGCCTTGGCTGTGGCACACTGCTACCTATGAAGGGTTCAGTGGTGCAGAAAAGTTCCAAGTTAATGCATTCATGCGTTCTAGATGTGAGGTCTCTGTGGTGCTCAGTGCTGAGCAGGGTGGGGTGCCCTTTTGGGAAAGCTTCATTAATCTTGTCTCTTCCATTAACAAGTGACTACAGCTTTCTTGCCCTTCGAGTAGAATTGGTTTGCTGAGACAAAATCCATTCCCCATCTATTATTTTAGACACCATTCCTTCAAGTCTCATGCAGAACACTTCACGACGAGGAACAGAGCCTGTGGTGGGAACTTGTTTTGACCTTATGTTTGGGGGATTGGATTAAAAGCGAGATGAAGTTGAAGGAGAAATTCCCATGACTTTAGTACAAGTTCAGTGCAAGGTCAGGGGGAGGGCTATTGGTTTTGATAGTGGGAAAAATTTAGAAGAGGGAAGGTGATTACCATGACATGTACAAATTCACGTAGATAAACATACACACATATGTAAATGTATACAAAATAGAGGGTGTTCTGATGCTAGGAGAGGTTGAGGAGGAGTGGATGAAGAAACTGTAATTGGATAGCACACGAGGAGGGAACTGAGGTGTGAGGAAGCACAGGAACCTGCTTCTGGGAGAATACTGCATTGAAGCAGAGATGGCCATAGATTCACTTCCTGAAAATGTGTCCTATTTGCAGTGTCATGGAGAAGTATGTGACATTTGGACACCAAACCACCTTTTTGTGATCTCAAATTGAACACCCAGCTGCAGGCAGGAGCTCAGTGTGTGAGATTCACTGCCCATGGCCTTTCTCGTACTCAGAGCATTAAGGGGTTCCTAGTGATCATACACAGAAATTCCCAAATCTTTACCTGGGCCAGGCTGGGGTGATCCAGTGGGATCCACAAGCTGGGTGATCCCCTCCATGGGCAGAGCACTGATGCACACTGATGAGCAGACCCAGCCTTGCATTGGGAGTGACTGGGGGAGGTGAGTGGAAGCTCCTGCTTCATCACCGAATGCAGCAGTAGAGTTTATGAATCCAAAATGCATCTCTCTGGAGGCAGGGGAGGAGATTAGGATCCTGGTCATGTTAGGGCATGATTTGTTCACGTTGCAGAAGCCCAGAGATAATCAGGGGGCACAAGTGTGGGTTACAAGCAGACCTGTAACTAGTTAGACATGGTCCCTGTTCACATCTGCCACTAAGTGGCTGCCATGGTTACACTTGCATATTCACTTGATAATAGAAATAGATGCACAAAGCAGCGTTAAACTAACACAAAGGCCACTGTTGGGAGGAGTAGTAGAAGAAGATGATGCTTTGCCCGTGATCTTGCTGGGCATCTGCAAAAAATCAGGATGTTTAAGTTATGTGGTATGTGTGCTTTACACTCACCGTTACAGATGGAATGATCAAAAATGCCTCCACAGATTCTTTGAAAAGCTTAAATCTTGCCTGGGTCTTTAATCTTCACTATAGATTGCTGTCTGTAATGAGGGGCTTGTGGGAACTTGGAAAGAGCAGATGGGAAGAGTATAGCTTTCACAGGAAAAGAAAAGATGTTATACCAGTGCCTAGCAAAGCTCTGATGCTGTAGCATCAGATGTCTTTAGTGGGTCTGGGCTGCAGGCTAAATCCTGGGATTAAGCCTGAGTTTAGATGCAGAAGTTTCACTGTAGGTATTCCATAGTGTACAATCCAAGGGTAACTCTAGACTATGAAATGTAATCCAGCTGCAACATTTGAGTCTGCTTTCTGAGGTGCTCCGAGATCACTGTCTGGTTTTACAGGTGAGGGCTGCCAGGCTGCTAGTGAAGTTGTCAAGGTGCAGTGTGTCTATTGCCATTCTGTTGCTGGATTTAGGGGAGAAGGGATGTTCTGAGTATGCTGAAAGCTCTTCAGGACAGGAGAAGTGTATGGTGTTTAGAACTGTGAGGATTCAGTCCTGATGGTTCGTATGGCTCAAGCAACTCTTTTCATTGTTTGTTCTCTTTTTCTGTGACTTGCTTTGCATATGAAGATATTTGTCAGTATCTTATATTTCTCACTCAGGTTCGAGTCTGAATACAGTAGAGCTGGTAGATCTTAGAGTGCTTTGGGAATGATGCACTTTCCTCTCCTTTCTCTACCCCTCCCCACAAGACTGTAGGATATCCTGAGTTGGAAAGCAGCCACAAGGATCACTGAAGTCCAACTCATAAGCTAGGTGTTTTCTCCTGGAAAGGCATGTCCCAGGTACAGGCAAGCAGAATCTCAGGATAGGTGGAGGGTGGGGGGTTAGCACTGGCAAGGCTGCAGTACAACACACAACCTTGTCCTGACTCTATGATGTGACAAACCCTGGGGCAGAGAGAGGATGCTGAGGAGAGACAGGAAAAGGGAAGTGGGACCATCCCATATTTTTACAACAAATCATGGGTTGTGGCATGTTTTCTTAAATGTGCAAGTGATCGAGGGAGATGGGTTTACCACTCAAGTCATCCAGTAATTTATTAATAATAACTGATGATGTGTATAGGGAATACATGACTGCATTGTCACTCTCTTCTCATTCCTGGGCACAGCTGGGAAGAGGGAATATTCTGTCAGGGCATGTGGGGAAGGCTGAAAGGGAGGCTGTAAGGTGTTCCTGTCGGCACAGGGTGAGCACTGCTTGTTTTGATGCCATCTGGGAAGGCAGTTGTCCTCTCACATCATTCCTACAGTTCATTCACCTTGTCTTCCTGCCCCTGCACAATGAGTAAACTGAGCTGTTTCATTTTGGAGGGGGGCAAAAAGAGTAAGATGAGTAATTTGGAGGTATGCTGGAACAATGAAATGTGCCTTATCCTGGAAGTGCAAGGACAGGCATGCAAGTTATGTCATTGTAGTGTGTGCTCTGTCACAAAGGAAGGCCAGGGCTGTGAAAAGCAGCTAAAATTTGTGTCTGTGTGTCTAGAAGAATCATGACAGCTGAATTGCCTGGTGGGTATCATCAGATGCACAACAGACATTTCTTCCTTCATTCCCTGCCAACGTCATTTTTGCCTATCCAGTTGCTGAGTGTGTGATAACAGTGATACCAGACATGAAAATAAGCATCTGAGTATAAAAGGGGAAAGATGGATTGATTCTGGCTCTGATAATCATAGCAAAATTACTTTAGAAGAGACTAGAGCAAGAAAAAGTGAGATGTGCCACATTGTGTATGCAGTGAAAACTAGCATGATCAGAAATCTCATGTTCAGCGGGGCTGTATGGAAGCAAATCTGCCCTGAAATGTATTATAATTGTGTTTTACTAGAATGTTGCCTTTGAAAGCTTAATTTAAAATGTGGCATTGTAAAAGGTTTTGTTGTGACTGATGAAAAGAGGGAACAAAGTGCACTGAAAGGTGAAAAAAGGTATTAACTGATGTGGGAGACAAATACAGAAGTGTCAAGCAAAGCACGTGCAAAAACACCAGCTTGATTTTAAACTATAGTTTGGTAGAGAAACACAGTTTCGTGTTTAGTGGAGCAAGAAATAACAGATGCTGTATGTCCTGAGTTCATAAAATGGATGGAATTGGAAGAAGGATCTCCCCTGAATGTGGGCACAGTGAGAAATAGACAACTATAGTGAATATCTGACGTGTGTGAGGTTATGGGAGTGGGGCTTTCACTGACTGGGTGGTGAGACTCCTCCAGTACAAGTGTGATACCAGAATGAGCCAAAACAACTAATAATGTGCACTACATTGTGTGAAAAATCTGTTATTTGTAGTAAACAACTTTACATCACAAAAGGAAAATACCTTAGTAATGTGTTTTGTTATCTGGAAGAACTTGGAGGCAAAAAGACCCGGGGGGAAAGAACCAAGTGAGCAGCTGATATATTTTTGTTGGGGAAGGGATTGCTTAAATAAGACTTTGCTTATGGTTGCAATCAGATACAGGGCTTATTACAGGCCTTTGCATATTCAGTACACTGAGCAGCCACTCCCTGCCTAATGCTGTGAGGTAGGAGGGGTTACTGTTGCCCTAGCTGCAAAGATGACCCTCAGACAGAAAGAAACTGCTGCAAACAGCTAGAGCTAGGAATGGGAAATTCTGCTGGATGGGTCCTTTCTTGGTTGCCCTTAAAATATGCCAAAACCAGTTACAGTCTAAATCTTCTGTAGAGACTTCTTTTAGTGAATGACTGCAGTGGGGCACTGAAGGAAGGAGAGCTCCTAATGTGTGTTCCCCTTCAGTCTGGATTATGTTACTGGTGATAACAGCTATCCTTTGTGGGCCCCACTGACTTGAAATTTTTTAGTGACTGCACCCATGTTTAACTGCTCATAAGCTATAGCTGTGAGGAGAGGCAAGACATAAAACAGCAGGGTGCATCTTTGCCACCTACTGTTTGCATCAAAAGCAGGATTGCTGCATGTCCTGCTGTGGGGATTGCTGTATTGCACCTTAGCTGGCACAAATGGAAGAGGTGAGGTGCTGGCTTCGGTAATGGGCAGCAAAGATTTGTGCTGAAAGCTGGGTTCCTCAGGTGCATCAGTCTGGCAGAGGTTAGACCAAATTTTCCATACAGGAGGGTGTTTGGGAAGAGGACTCCAAGAACTTTGGCTCTTCCTTCTTGGTTATGGTCCATTGACAATCCCAACCCTTTCCCCTTCAGGCTCTCTATGGCTTTTAGCTTTCCCAAACTACAGTAGTCATACCACATCATACCCTTTGTTGTTACATCCAGTGATTTTTTTTTAAGCACAGTAAAGCATTTTGCCCCATCCCAAGTCCAATGAACTCGTTCAGGTGACTGGAGGAACTCTGCTGCATCTCGTTGACCTTGGCAGAGATGGGACATTCATGTGTTTATTTATGCCCCACTGATCAAAGCATGTTGCAGGTAATGGGAAGGTGAAGGAGCCGAGTCTCCGATTTCATTTGCCTGGTGCCTATGGCTTCCCAGGGGAAGTCTCTCATGGACGGGAAGGTATGTACCAGTCCAATTAGAATATGCCATGCACGCCTGCGTAGGCCAGGGGACGCGAGGACTTTGCATTCCTCAGTCAGAGCTGTCATTTTGTGACCGTGTCATAAAAGAGGTGAAGGAAATTTTATTGGCTCAATTTTCCACTGTTACTCACAGGCCACTGTTAAGTTTCCTCATCCTCTAATTTCTCAATGGCACACTAAAGTCAGGAGCTTGGGGTGAAGTTGAGGCACACAGGCATTATTTTACTCCTCAGCATCGCCATCTGATAAGGTGGGACCTGGGAGGGGAAAGAGAGAGGTGGTGTTACACAGGGTGTTTCCACAGGGCTGAGGGAAAGGAAGCCGTAGGCCAGTCAAGAAGAGTCAGAGTTGATGTCTTCAAAGATTCTCAAATCTCAGTCTTAGGATCCTAATTGCTCAGCTAATATCTGAAGAGTCATGAAACCGTCAAGGAGTGCTGTTTTATAAAATCTGGGAGGGTGGTGGTGGGAAACAGACTCTGCCCCTTCATTCATATGCAGAAGAGTTAAAATGGAGGGAGGAAGGATTAAAATATCTCTAGTTGTTCTTTATGCATTGAAACTTGTTTAATTATTAAAACGGAGAAAATATTTTAATTAATGCATTAAAGTTAGTGATATTTCTATGCTGGTATAAAATGAATGCTTTAAATTAATCCACACTTGGAGGTGTACTGAACATGAAAGTATGTGGATATAATTTTTACCCATTGATAAAGAAGGGGAAATAATACTGAAATAGAGAATATCAGTACTGTTCATAGGTGTGTGCTGTTTCTTAATTTTTTTAAGATTGTGCCTGTAGGGCTCTACCCTTTTTTCTTTAATTTTTATAATACACTGTGTTAATGATAGTATTAGGAACTAATGCTGAATCTTAACTACAACATCTATGGCCTGCAATTACTACTATAAACCTTGAAATAAGGTAGTACTAATTGGTGAAGCTGGTCATAAGAAGCATTTTCTAAGACTGATGTATATCAGTTACAGCATTTAAACCCCTGATTTATACAACTTTGCACAGCTTGATCTGAAAGACAAGGTCACAAACACGTCTTCCCTTCCCCCTTTCCATTCCCCTTCCCCTCCCTTTGGACTATTTCCCTGCTAGACTTTGCAGATAGTTTGAGGTTTCCAGGGTTTTTCCTAAGATCTCCTACATGTTGTTACTTGTTTGCAGAGTTGGTCACAAGCTGTCTCCTAATTGACCTCACTTCCATGCAACATCCCCTCAGAACCAGCCCTTTCCTACGGGGAGAAGGCTGTCTGTGGGTTCACTGAAATGGCAGAGTCAGTGGCAATAATGAGACAAGGAAACATTAAACCATAAAAACAATGGCTCGTTTAGAAATGGTCCCAGTTAGAATATCCTGCTTCCCCTGGTGCCCACTTCTCACCTGGAAGGGCAGCAGACGTGTTCCTAGCAGAGGGCCAGGACTGAGGGTGTAAAACCTTCCTGCTCTGCTGTTGCTGGTGTGTGTGGGCTGCCGAGGGAGCACCTGGCTCTGTGTGTGGAGCGCTTGGCAGTCACACACGGAGAGACACCTACACTGGAGTGTCTGGGACTAGACTGTGGATCCTGGGTGTGGTTTCACCAGAACTAGGGCTAAGTCCAGGTTTCTGCTTTCCTACTTCTGCTTTGCTGCCCAGCCCTGTGTTCTTGTCCTCTTGTACAGCTTGTACAGCTGCTCTGGGGTCTCAGCACACCGAGGACATGGACCTGCTGGGGCCAGTCCAGAGGAGGCCACCAAGATGCTTTGAGGGATGGAGGACTTCTGCTATGAGGATATGCTGAGGCAATTGGGATTGTTCAGCCTGGAGAAGAGGCGGCTTAGTGGTGACCTCATTGTGGCCTTGCAGTGCCTGAAGGGAACGCACAGGAAAGATGGAGAGAGACTCTGGACAAGGGCCTGGAGTGACAGGACAAGGGCGGGGATGGCTTCAAACTGGCAGTAGGTTTAGATGGGATATCAGGAGGAAATTGTTCCCTGTGAGGGTGGTGAGGCCCTGGCACAGGTTGCCCAGAGCAGCTGTGGCTGCCCTTTCCCTGGAAGTGTTCCAGGCCAGATTGGATGTGGTTCTGAGCAACCTGGGCCAGTGGAAGATGTCTCTGCCCATGGCAGGGGGATGGGCTTTAAAGACCCTTCCAACCCAAACCATTCTCTGATTCCATATGCAACTAGTGCAGAAAGCTGTCAGATTTAACTTCACTTATCTTTTCTCCTGTGTCACACCTTTATGGCTGCTCACATCGCTCTGCTTCTGGGTTGTTTGTTTTTGGCTTGACAACTCCCTGGGATGGCTCATACATGGTCATGTGTGCACTGGCATGAGGGAGATGTTGGCAGCAACCTGGATGCATAGTAAATTGGTCTGTTTTGGATTTCAGGTGTTCTGGATTTTCAGGGTTCCATGTCAGGTCTTAATTGAGATTTCTTAAGATTCAGTTCCAGGTGCTGTTGGATAGTTTGTACAGTCAGCAGCAGAAGGAATTGAAGAAACTCTCCTTTTTATTTTTTTTTTCCTTTTTTTTTTTAAGGAATGGAATATAAACAAATGAACATTGCAGGATATCTGCAAATACCTAAATTGGGCCTGACAAATTTGGTTATTCATCTTTGTTAACCCAGTTATATCACAGTGTACTTCTCTGCCCTTTTTTTAGTTTCTGGTAGCTCTTGTAACTCACTGAATCAGGCCTAAATATTCTGCACTGTCATGAGTCCCAACCTTTGGAAAACAGGAATCAGGCAGAGAGGGAACAGGGAATTGCCCTTCCTCTCCTTAGTTACAAACTAAGGCTTAGGATTAAGAAATTTAGATAAACCGAGATGAGATCTAATTTTTGAGTCATACTTACTTTTTCTGGCCTTTTCCATGCCCATTAAAGGACATAAATCCATTTTTTCTTAATTGTAAGCCAAAACTCTGACATAACCACATTATTCTAGGAAGTGGGACTGTATGAGAAGCAGAAAATGTTGTGATGCACACAGTAAACCTGTGCCAGTTGGCCATACAAGCCTTAGACCGTGAGTAGCAACAAGTTTTCTGTGTGTTCGCATTAGTACCTTCCTATTCAGCACCCACACAATTCCTGTGGCTTTGGGTGTGTAAAGCTGTTTTTCCGCAAGGGAGAGGGAAGGGGTCCCCAGTGGTGTTTTCCCACATTTACATTACTTGTAACATTTTATTTATATCTAATACTGTTTGCTTCCAATAGCAAACTTGTCTTGTGGTAGCTTCTTCGATCTAAGGACACCAGTTAAATTTCTAAGAAAAAAATTATTTGTTTCCTGAGAAGCTGGGTTAGGGGAGGGTTGTACCAAAACCTGTTTTTTCCACATACATCTCTACATCCCTTTTGGATAGATTTTTTTTTTTATTATTTTTTTTTTTTTATTTCTTTAGCTGCAGTTTTCTGTACAAAGCTCCATCACTGTTACAGTATTGCCAAGTATTTTTGATTGTGATACAAATTTCATAACTTTTAAAAATAAATCTCATTTCTGTAGTCATAAGGTAATTGAAACTGATATGAGGAGCTAAGACTGAGAACATGCATTCTGAGAGCACAATACAAGGATAAATGTGTGATTTGTTGTTGTGGTTGCTATCTCATGGGATTCTAAATCAAACAGTTTTTTATTGTTCTCTCCAATTGATGGTACAATATTGAAGCCAAAGCATGACAGACTTTTCTGCTGTTATGGCTGATGACACTGTGCCATCCCTACCCTGGAATGATATACAAGTGCAGTTTTATGGGTATTTTAGCTTTTTTTTTAGTTGCATAGGACATGCTTTACCTATTGATAAAAAAGCAGGATTTTTGCCAGGATATTTATGGCTGGGTATATATTAGTGTTTAGCTTGTCAGTCATCCCACACTGCTAAAAAATTCCAGCTTTGTCTTCTGTGGGGCTCTGACCACTACCAGAAATCTGACAGTTTTCCAGGTGGAACTTGACCTGGCTGTGAAAGAGGTTATATTACACGTTTGCATCAGACAGGATAACTTTGGGGGCTGTCTTTGCAGGGCAGGACAGTTTATCCCAGTTCAGTTTGCTGAATATTGTTCATCCTTATCCGTCTGTAGCTTAACTGTGCTCAGGACGGGTACAGGTAACGTGACAACAGCTGTGCTCACAAATGGTTCCACTGTGCAGGCTTGGCAAGGCCAAGCTTTCGAGTGTTTCCCAGTCCTTTGATGTCTTAAGGGCATTTGCATCTGTCAGAATGGTTTGGTGCAAACATGAGCGTTCTTTAATCTGGGGCTCAAAAGCAGCAGCGTGGGATTCTGGCTCACACGTCCGTAGCGTACTGAGAGACTGAGATTTCTGCTGCTAACTGGAGAATCTGCCCCATGCAGGTCCTGAATCATCCTGCTCAAAGAGGAACTGGGAACTCCTCGAGTTCGTGGCAGACATGCCATGTAGGAATGTGTATAGCATGCTGCTAGCAGCCACCTCTGCATCAAATATCATGAGGAAAGTAATTTGGGAAGTTCCTGCCTCCTTTAGTGCTCCTGATGTTTCTATCAGTTGTCCATCCCCAGAGTTTGCAGAGAGACCTGCACAGAGCAACTTGCAGTGACTCAACACATTACTCCCACTGTGGGAATTCTGCTGTTCACCAGGTAGTGTCAATTATCTTTCCACTGAGCTCTAGCAGTGAGAATCACACACTATTCTTGGTTATTCTCATATTAGAAGCCTATGGAATATCAGGGCTTACCCATTACTTTTATGAATATAAACTTAACCTCTGCTTAGAGCAAGCTGGGTTTTTTGCTTTACGGGTGACCCCATTTTATCTTAAGAATGAATCACTTTTATTGCATCTCTGGGAAGTGCAATGTACAATCCAAGCCACGTTCTTCACTTGCTATTTGCCAAATGTTCAGTAGCAATTTCCAAGATGAAATTGTGTTCAACCCAAAATTATTTTTCTCTGACACTTTTTTTTTTGTTAGCATTAAGTATTATAATCTAATTAAATAGAAACCAATGTAAGAAAAGTATGGAAGATTATCCTTTTTTTCCTCCCTCAGTGAGTCATTGGATAATTATTAGGTTAAGTGTATCATGATTGTGCCTACAATGAGTGAAAGCTGCGACTGGGTGTGCTAAAACTCGGGCAGATTCTCTGCACTGGTGTGTCTGGGAGGTCTCACCTGCATTTCTCAAGCTTCTGTAGGAGCTCAGATGAATTTTCCAGGAGGTCAGGTGCTATTGGCAGCTTGCTTTGTTCTCTCCTGCCTAAGACACCTGAGGCAGCTCCTGGTTCCCAGAACATTACCAGTACTGTGTAGCACAGAAATAGACTCTGCATTATTTTTCTTTTTTAGATCCTCTTTCTTTCTTTCTTAAGTCCTTTCCTTCATCAAGCTCCTGCTCTCCATGCCCTGAAAGCTGACTCCATGTTACATTATTTCCCTCCTTCCTTCTTATCTCTAGCACCCTGTGTTATCTCTTCCTGAGCTCAAGAGTTTTGACCACCCTCCTTCACCTCCCTTGATGGGTTGTACAGCGATAGAGCAACCCAGGGTGGTGTGTGAAGATTGGTGACTGTTTCTTTGCAGGGGAATATGTGCAGTGGGAATCTCTCACGTAGAGGGTCATGCAGCTGAGGAAGCCAGCCTAAGCATGGCAGGAATTACAGAAAATTGGGGCTGAGGAAGTATAAAAATTGAGGCTTGTGGCAGGGCAGGCTTTGTGTTCAGTTTTCTGGGTGTCTCATCAAACTGAAGTCCAGTGTGTGGCATCCTAGGGGAAATGGTGCTGTCCTGCACACTGAGATCTGGATCTTGTAGAGAGATTCTCTTGTAGGAGAAAGGCTGGCTCTGAGCTGATTCAAATCATAGAATGTTAAGGGGTTGGAAGCGACCTTAAAGATCACCTAATCCCAAACCCATCTGCCACAGGGCAGGAACACCTTCCACTCAACCAGGTTGCTCAGGACCCCATCCAACCTGGCTTTGGACACTGCTAGGGATGGGGCAGCCACAATCTTTCTGGCCAACCTGTGCCAGGGCCTCTCCACCCTCACAGGAAAGAATTCCTTCCTAATATCTAACCTAAATTTCCCCTCTGTGTACACAGTATACCTGAACTGTGTGACCAAGATGATTAAACGAAGCTGAGATAGCAGGAAAAGGCTCAAGGCAGTCTTATTGTTTTTTGGGTGGGTGTTAGAGCCAAACACAAAACTCTTTCATGCCTGAGCTGCAGCCCTTAAAGCCAGCTTTGGCATTGCTACACCAGGCTGTGACTGCACCAGCAAGGATAAGCCCAAACTAGGGACGACTTGGGAAACTTTGTTTCAGTAAGAAAAAGGGTGTCCTTGCTAAACAGCTTTCTCCTCTGCTGCCAGAAGCTCATGGCTGCAACTGGGCCGAAGCAGCTCCATCCACATGTTTGCAGCAGCCTGGGCGTGTGGGCTGCCCCATGGCCTACGGCAGGGAGCAGGATGGGGAGTGGGGCCAAGGGCAGCTGGGTGGCACCCAGCACCTCACGGGGAGGGCCAAGGTGGCAGGCAGAGAGCTCCGTCTCTCC